GTGGTAAAAAGGAGAAAAATCCATGGTCATTTTCATAGTACCCAAAAGTGAACAAAATTCAAAACCCCTTCTTCTTAAGGATATTTAACAAAGTAGCAATTAATTCATAAGGAATTTATCCTTTTAACCATATTAGAGTGCCTCTTCAATTGGAAGTCTTGGGAGACATTCTCACTGCAGTTGGCACTGTGGTGAAGAAGCCCATTGTCATTACTGCTGTTTAACACTGTGTTCCAGTGCTCAGTGGTGCAGTTAACTGAGGAAATTAGATGCATTGGAATTTGAGGGAAAGGGGCTGGTGGAGTGGCTCAGTGCCTTTCTAGCAAGCACAAGGCCCTGCGTTCAAACCCCAGTACTGCGAAAGAAGAAATAATTTGAAGAAAGATAAAAATAGATAAATAAATAAAACTGCCTGTATCTGTATATGATATAATTGTGTAGCTGAGAAACCTTAGCGAATTTCTGAAAACTGCAACTAGATCAGTAAGGCAATGGAATATAAAATGAGTAAATTAGCTTTCATATGCAAGCATGATTGTTAAAAGGTGCAGTTGAAGACCCTGCTAAAATAGTAACATGACAGATTGAATACTGAGGGGTAAACTTAAGGAATGTGCAGTTTGTGGAAACTTGGAAAGAGCACAAAAGTTGTTTGAGTGGGAAAAACAGTATGGTCTTGGCTAAGATGACTTAAACTCATAAAAAGATCATCTCTCCTCAAATTTATTTATGATTTCAGTGTAATCCCTGTAAATAATACCAATGTAATGTTCCACTGGAACTAAACAGTCTGACCTGAAATTCAGTTAGAGAAATCGTACCATTAACCAGGAAAATGGAAAGGAAGAGGAGTGGAACAGCTTCTAGTCTTGTGTGTTCACTGTGTGTCACCATGACAAAATACCTGAGAGAAATGTTTATTTTGGCTCACAGTTTCAGAGGTTTTAATTCATGGTCAGCTGACACCATTGCCTTTGGGCCTATTACAGGACAGCGTGTCATGGCAGAAGGCTCCTGGTGAAGCAAAGCTGCCTCCTTATGGAAGCCAGGAAGGGGTGCGGGGAGGGAGAGAGTGACAGAGAGAAAGGGGTAGAGATAGACTGGTGTTCTAATATTCCCCTCAGAGGACACAGCCCCAATGACCTAACTTCCTTCTACACCCTCCTTTGGGGGGACATTTAGGATCCAGACTATTAACACCTTGTCAGAAATTAAAACAGCCCACAAAGTATCCATGATTTGATCTGTGGTATTGGCATGTAAGTAGATTAATCAATGGAAAGGAATAACAAGTTCAGAAATGGTGCAAACACACATGGGAATTGAGTATATCATGTAGTTGCCATCTTACATCAGCAAAGGAAAGAGATGCTTTTTGATAAAAGGTGTTGGGACAACTGAGTAACCATGTGGTAAATCAGTACTTTAGAGCTCCAAAGAGATCAAAGATTTTAAATATAGTTGAATTTGTTTATGACCATGGGATAGGAAGGCTTTTGTAATTAAGACTCAAAAGTCTAGAAACCCTGGAAGAAAAAGTTAATAAAATATGTAAAAATTGTGAAAATTTGAGCTGGGCATGGTGGGGTACACCTGTAGTCCCAACATTTGGGGGTCGAGGCCGGAGGATGTGAGTTCAAGTCCATCCTGAGTAACATATTGAGACCATGTCTTAAGGAACCAAACCAATCGAAAAACCCTTTAGCATAGCAAAATAAGAAATATATAAGCAAGTAAAATACAATACATTGAGAAAATCTGATTCATAGAAATCAAAAAGTTAACGTGATGTGCAAATAAGGTTATTTGCTCTGGTATTATTTGTGATAAGAGAATGTTGGAAACAATCCAAGTATCTCTGGTTGAATATTGTGTGTGCATCATACCATGATAATCTGTTTACCCTAGGATTTAGTGATTGGAAAAAAAGCAGAAATATACATAGTGTGTTACTTTTTATATGAGAAAAGAGGAGAAAAAGAATTGTCTAAAAAAAACAGTTGAAGAATAAAAAGAAAATAGTAAAAACTATTTTCTACTGGGCATGGTGGTGCATGGCTATCTATAATCCCAGCTACCTAGGAAGTGAAAGCAGTAGGATGAAGGTCCAAGGCTGGCTCAGACAGAAGCACCAGATCCTATCTGAAAAACAAACTAAAAGCAAAAGGACTGGGGGTGCAGCTGAGGTGGCAAAGTGGCAGAGCATTTCCCTAGGAAGTACAAGGGCCTGAGTTCAATCCCACTGCTGCAAAGGGAAAGTAAATAAGTAGGACTGGAGGTGTGGCTCAAGTGGTGGAGTGCCTGCTTTGCAGTCATGAGCCCTGTGTTAAACTCCTGTCCTACCATAAATAAATCAATTAGCCAATCACTCAATCAGCAAAGTAGGAAAACCTCCTATCACTATTAATATTACTAAATTGATTTCCTGAGGCAGTAAGTTAAGAAAAGGGATTAAGAGTAATAAATGTCAGAAAGAGAAGAAACTGAAATATGACTTAAAATTAAAAAAATCTAGAAGCCTGGCAGAGTGGCTCAAGTGGTAGAGCATCTGTCTACCAAGTGAGAAGCCCTGAGTTCAAATCCCAGAACTGCAAAAAAAAAATCTAAAAAGGATTCACTAGTACATTATTATATTTGTTTTAAAGAAGGCATATAGAGAATAGAGGATAGATACATAACAGTAACATTCTTAAATAGAAAATAATGACAACTCAGAATGGCCATAAACAGTAGTAAATGAGGATTTTGAAGTAATGAAGAGATAATCCAAAATGGGAAATTTTTCATCTTGTAAAGATGTACATGCCATCCCTCCAAATTCATTTACTATGAATGTAGTCAGAATCAAAAAGTATTTAAAATGGGCCAGGTGTAGTAGAGCATACCTATAATCCCAGCTATTCAGATGGTGGGTGTTGTGAGGATCATGATTTGAGGCCAGCCCAAGCAAAATGTTAGGGAGACCCTATCTCAATGAACAAGCCAGGTGTGGTGGTTCACATCTGTAATCCCAGCAATGCAAGTAGCATATGTAAGAGGATTGCAGTCCCAAGCTGGTACCAGGCAAAAAAGCACAAGACTCCATCTGAAAAATAAAATGGACTGTGCGTGTAAGCTCAAGTGATAGAGCCCTTTTCTAGAAAATGTGAGGTCCTGAGTTCAAACCCCAAAAGAAAAAAATATTTTTTTGGTGAGATTAGCGTTTGGACTCCAGGCTTCAATCTTGTTCTACACCTTGAGCCACACCTCCAGTCCATTTTGCTCTGGTCGTTTCAGAGATGGTGGGTCTTGCAAACTGTTTGCCCAGGCTGGCCTTGAACTGCAACCCTCCTGATCTCAGCCTCCCAAGTAGCTAGGATTATAGGCATGAGCCACCAGTGCCCAGCCAAAACAAAAAAATTTTAAGTGTACTAGAGAATATTCAAACTGGTTTTACTAATATTAGACATACTATAAGACAAGAACTAAAACAATGAAAATAAGCCAAGATATAGCCCAGCTGTGTATGAGAATAATAAAAATGACATTTCAAAATAGGATGAAAATGAGGCTATTAGCAATGGGGCTGGGATACCTGACCCATAATTTAGAAGGAAATTAATTTTAGCTTACTCGATATACTTGATTAAATTCCAGATGTGTTAGAATCAGTAATAAAATAAGTCTCTTGGAAAATGTTCAGAGAACAGAAAACTTTGTCAAATCCTGAAAGAATGTGGAGTTATAGAGGAATGGTTAAAATTTTAAGACATTTATATTGATAATTGATGAGGTTGACAGAGATTAAGATCTTTTATAATAACATCGTATTTAAATTTATAGAATTAAGATAGATAATTACTGTTTTACATAACCAAAATGAAAAGAAAGTAAGAAAACACCATTTTATACCTAATAAACATTATTAAATATTCTGCTGGCAAGATGAAGTAAAATTGATACATGATGGTTGTATGGAAATGATTGCAGGTTTGTATCAAGAGCTGTGATTTTAAAAAATTGGCATATATTTTAACCTGACATTTTCATTATTCTACGGAGGCCATTACAAAGAATAATTAATGCCAGGCACCAGTGGCTCTCACCTATGTAATCCTAGCTACTTGGAGGCTGAGATCAGGAGAGACATGGCTCAAGACCAGCCCGGGCAAATAGTTCACAAGACCCCATCTCCAAAATAATGAGCAAAGTGCACTGGAGGTGTGGCTCAAGTGATAGAGTGCCTGCTTTGCAAATGAGAAGTCCAGAGCTCAAACCCCAATCTCACCAAAAAAATAAATAATTAAAAAGAGAGAAATCTATTGGTGTGAAACTGCTAAATCTAGCAGAGATTCACATTCTCGCTTTTGGTTCATTCCCATCTAAATGGTTGATTTAAACCCTTTACTTTATCCTCCATCAGTTTTCGTTTAGTTTTGGAGTTCCTTGTCATCCTACCTGGTCACAGCAGACTTTTTTCCCTACTTTGTTATGTAGTCTTTATGATATATTATTTTACGTACTTTGTTTTGTAGTATAATGTAAATATAGAAAAGCCTAGATACATTATAAGTATGCAGCTCAAATTTTCACAAAATGTAAATTACTCAAATTACTGTTCTAGCACACCAGGAATCTCCCTAGTACCCCTTCCTGTCACCATTCCCTTCCTTCTGAAAGGTAAATATTGCTGACTTCTAATACCGTAGTTTTATTGTATCACTTGTTGTAATGTCTGTAATAGCCAAATATTAACCTATTGTTTGAATGTGCTCTGCTTTCTTGAATTTTGAGCATTTCACTTGTTTCCAGTTTTTCCTTGAATAGGATATTATGATAATCGATGCTGTAATATTATATTTAATGAAGTGAAAACCTGGAAGAAATTCTTCCCACCATTCATTTACTAGACTCCTAAAGGTGTTCAGGTGGTGTTTTTTCATCTCCTAGTTCTTAGCTGAGGTTAGTATGAACTTGGTTTTTGTTTTGTTTTGTTTTGTTTTTCAGGCAGTACTGGGGTTGAACTCAGGGCCTCATGCTTGCTAGGCAGGTGCTCTACCACTCCAGCCACACCTCCATCATGAACTCATTGAGTAATGGTGCTTATTGAGTAAAAACGTGAGGCCTTTCAGTGTAGTCCCACCCATTTTATTTTTTTAAAAGTTGATGGGCCAAATTTCTGACTCCCAGGGTTCTTGTTTATAAGAAATCTCACTTGTTTTTCCCTGCCTGGTATTGTCATGTCCCTTAAAAGCCTAGCATTCTCTCTCTATTTCAACAGTCAGTGAAAGCAGTCCAATGGGTGAAGATCTTCAGAAAGAAGACTGTAGAGAAAAGTCTTCAAAGGGTGATGCAGTGGACTATCCCTTGGTCTCTGAACAACTTTCAGGTTGCCATGAAGAAAGATTAAATATACCTGTTCCTCAGCAAAGGAAAATGAGAAATCTTTTGGTTACAATTGAAAATGATACTCCACTAGAGGAGCTCTCAAAATATGTGGACACCAGTATTATTGCCCTTACTCGAAGTCAGAGAACAAGGAGGTGGTACACTTGTCCACAGTGTGGGAAACAGTTTAATGAAAGTTCTTACCTTATTTCTCACCAAAGGACTCACACTGGTGAGAAACCCTATGACTGTAGCCACTGTGGGAAAAGCTTCAATCATAAAACAAACCTCAACAAACATGAACGAATCCACACAGGAGAGAAGCCTTATTCCTGTTCTCAGTGTGGAAAAAATTTCCGTCAGAATTCTCATCGGAGTCGCCATGAAGTAATCCATGTAAGGGAAAGGATATTTAAGTGTCCAGAATGTGGGAAAACCTTCCCAAAAAATGAAGAATTTTTGCTTCATCTGCAGAGTCATGAGGCTGAGAGACCATATAGTTGCAAAAATTGTGGGAGAAGATTTGGTCGCCTGTCAAACTGTACCCGACATGAGAGAACCCACTCAGCATGTAAGACCCAAAAACAGTAGAATCAGGGAAAGTCCTGCCTCAGTCTGAGACGTTTTCTAAGGAATTCTGAATTTGAAGGTTGCCTAAAAAGATACACATACGTGAAAACTTCATTGCAGCCAAATTTGGCTGAAAACTCAAATTCTTAGAAAATTCCCAGGAATGGAAGCTTCCTCAGGGGCTGTTGTCCCGTGAGTGGTCAGGCTTTCTGGGCTGAGGAGCTTTCGTTGTGAAGCTGTGTGACAGTGGATCCCCTTCCCGAGCAAGATAATGAGTTTGAATGAGTCTCTGCGCTATTTACCTGCAAGGTGAGCAGAGCGACCTTTATTGAAAGCTTCATTCCCCATACATGAGAACTCACACCTGAGATAAAGACATAATGGAAGATCCTTTTCTGGGACTGTGCTCCCTTGATTGAACCAAACTACCAACTTACTCAGCCAATGGCTTCTAATAGCAATTCATGTAACCCTCTCAGGATACTTGAGTGTTTGTTTACTCTGGAACGTAGGAAAACTGCAGCATTTGAATGTCAAAGACTGACTCTCATTTGTATGGGATCTAAAGTAACTAGGAATTTCAATAACATTTGCAATTTGTAAAAACTGACTATTTCACAGAAATCCTTTTCACAATATAATTTTAAAGTGTCTACTGTTCTTTCTGTATTTTACCAGCTGTTAGTCTCTCAAACAGCTGTCTAGTGCCTCTCCTTTGCCAAAAGGAGCGTGTGTCACTCAGGTCTGCTGTCTGGTCCTCTAGTGGGAAACTTCAGAATCTTGTACTTCTCCTGAGCCAAGATTTCACCTGCCAGGACAGAAACACCATGGGCTTGAAGAAGAGGGAAAGACCTGTAGGTGGGGAGAAGTCAGCTTGGATCCATGGCTAGTAGATAAACTTCTGTATTGATTCAATTACTTTTTACTCAGTCATTAGACTTTACCAATGGGATGGTCACTACCTCAGAAAGCAGCTTTTACAAATGATGTCTCCCGTAGTTAGCTTGTGTTGCTCTTCGACAGACAGAATTCAAGTGTCTGCTGGAGTGGACGTTTGTCTTCGCTCTCCTGTGCTTACTGTCTATGGGCCAGGGTGGCCTTCACTGGACGATCCCATGGTGCAGTTAGGGACTCTTGGTTAGTTTTGCTTGATTTGCATTTTGACTGGAATGGGGGCATCCTATGTGTTATTTGGAAAAATCCATTCACTTCCACAGATTTCGTTTACCATCTAGAAACATGCCTTTGTACTGTATTGCAGTGTTATATTCCTGAGTAAAGTTTTCAAGGTTTTTTCACTTGACACGTTTCATTTTGCATTGTATTTTCTAATTGGTTATTGCTCTTACATAAAAATATTTCTTAAATTACATGTTTGTATAAGTCCACCTCATTGAATGTTCTTAATTTTCAATAATTTTGGGTTTAGTTCTGTTCGTGGTAAGAGTATAACAACTACAAATTGTAGTTTTATTTCTTTCTGCTTATTGTTTTTTTTTGTTTTTTATTTTTTAGTTCTTTAAACAGTTCTAAGGTTTGTTGTTTGGTACAGAGTATTCTGGGAGAAGGAAGTTTTATAATTCACTTCATCCTTGAATCGTAATTTTTAAACAAAAACACATAAAGAAAAGCTGTTGTTTACGACATTGTATTTGAAGTCAACAATGCCCTTTAAACCGGGGGCAAAACAATATTGTTATCAATCTCTGCAAGTCTGGGGCCTCAGGACGGTGTTGCCAGAGTGAACACACCATTGTTATCTGCAGAGGACCCGTATGTGCACTCAGGAAAGGGCCAGGCAGCTATGGGAAGTTAGTGGAGAGGGGAAAGAAAGACCTGTCCCTGCCCAAGGACTCATGTTTGGCTGTCCATGAAGACCCCAAGGTGTGTGCTTTTTTTGTGGTACTGGGATTTGAATTCAGGGCCTACACTTTTAGCCACTCCACCAGCCCTTTTTTGTGATGAGTTTTTTAAAAATAGGGTCTCACAACTATTGGCCCAAGCTGCCTTTGATCCGTGATACTCCTGATTTCTGTCTCTTGAGTAGCTAGGATTACAGGCATGAGCCACTGGCGCCCACCCAAAGTTGTGTGCTTTTGTAGGGGGACGATGTATCTCGAGGCAGTTCCCTCCAGCTTTGGCAAGGACCTGGAAGTCCAGGTTGTGGTTGGTAAACACCTGCTGTCCCTGAGCAGCACAGGCACCCCTTTTCCCCCAGGAACCTGGAGCTGCCAGAAATGTGGGTCTGGGTCAGATTACTACTGGTGCAGGGGTGATGACCTGAAAAAGGGGCAGCCCCCAAATGCTAGACTTCCTGGAAAGCTGTGCTCAGTAAGGAGTCCATCACCAGTTAAGTGAAAAAAGAAAAACAAAACATGAATAGTTTTCCAGTAGAGCAGGAAAAGCAAGTGTTAAGATTAAGTAAAAAAGACCAGCCAAGTGTGGATGGAGGATGCAAGCCTGTAATCCCAGTACTTCACAGGCTGAAGCAGGAGCACCCCAAGTTCAAGGCCAGCCTGGGCTATATAGGGAGAACCTGTCTCAAAAAGGGAACAAAAACCAGAAACAGGTGGCTCATGTTTGTAATCCTTTGCTCTTTGGAGGGCTGAGATAGGATCATGGTTCAAGGACAGTCAGGGCAAATAGTTCTCCAGACCCCATGTCCAAATAACAAGAGCAACATGGACTGGAGGTGTGGCTTAAGCGGTACAGTGCCTGCTTTGCAAGCTCAAAGCCCTGAGTTCAACCCTTTCCCCACACACACACACACAAATCATCACATAACACAAATTAGAAAACTAGTTGAATAAATATGATAGAGTGAAAAATGATGGACCCTTACAAAGCTAAAACCATTATTTTCATGAACAGCTGGCAGGTGGATCTCCTCTGTCCACCTGTTGAGGTTTTACCTTCAACCTCACCATTCCCAGAACATTTTTTGTCAAGGTCACCAGTGATCTCCAATTTCTTCATCAAGTCCAACATCCAACATCATTAGGCCGTTGCTCTGATGGCGATTGACATCCTTTATCACGACCTTCCTGTGCCCATTTGTCTGGAGTGCAGTGGAGACCTGCTGTCAGTGATCTTACCCAATTTCAGGGTTCCATGTACTAGCTATGTAGTGAACATTTACACGGTACTTCACCCAACAGCAATAGGATGCACTTCTTAAGATTACATGGAATACTCACCAAGATAGAACACACTGTGGACCATGAAATACACCTTAGTTAATTTAACAACAGAAATCATACAAAGCATCCTCTCATCAAAAAATGGAATTAAACTGAAAGTCAGTAAGGGTAAAGTAGCTGGAAAACCTCAAAATGTTTGGAAATTAACATTCTTCAGAATAACACGTCAAAGAAAAGGTGTCAAAAAATTTAGTTGTAATGAAAGTACAACTCAGTTTGTGAGATGCAGCAAGAGCAGTGCTGAAGGGAGATTTATGCCATTGAATGACCACACGAGAAGAATGTGGCCAGGGGTGGAGGCTCATGCTTGTAATCCCAGATACTTTGGAGGCAGACATCTGGAGGTTTGCAGTTCAAGGCCGTCCCCAGGAAAAAGTTAGCAAGGCCCCATCCCAACAAATAAGCTAAGCATGATAGCGTATGCCTGTGGTTACAATGACCAACTATGTGGGAGACCAGAGCTAAGAGGATCAAGGTCCAAGGCCAGGCCGGAACAGAAACAGAAGACCCTACCTGAAATAAACAAGCAAAAAAGGTTTGTGGAGTGGCTAAAGTGGTAATGCACTTGCCTAGCAAGTGTGTGGCCCTGAGTTTAAACCCCAATGTCCTTCCCCCAAAAAAAGTAAAGGAATCTAACAGTGTTTTCAAAGAATTATATACCATGACTGCGACAGAATTTACTCCTGATATGCAAGGTTGATTCAACCTTAAAAATCAATCAGCTAATAACGAAAAATCACATGCACAGATGGTGTTACATACCTGTAATCGCAGTGCAGCAGGCCGAGGCGGGAAGATCACAAGTTTGAGGTCAGTCTTGGACTACAAAGCCAGATCCTGTCTCAGGGGAAAAAGGTGTTGGAGGCTGTTGGATAATAGGTCTAAATAGGCAATTCTCAAAAGAGCAAAGGTGCGTGGACAAAATGATCTGTGCCACTAATCAGAGAGATACAAGTCAAAGCCACAGTAAGATGTCACCTCTCCCAGTAAAAAGAAGAGTAAAGATGACAGGCACTGGTGAGGATGTCACCCACTATTGGTGTAAATGTAAATCAGTACAGCCATTATGGAAAATAATATAGCGGTTCCTCAAAAAATAAAAGCAGATCTACCATGTGATACAGCAGTCCTGCTCCTGGGTATACATCCAAAGAAAATGAAAACAGTAGGCCAGACAGGCTTCTGCTCTCCCATGTTCACGGTAGCACTATCCACCATGACGAAGAAATGTAAACAACCTAAGTGACCCTCAATACATGAATGCATAAAGAAAGTGTGGTACATACGTACGTGTACACGGTGGAATAATATTCAGCCATAAAATAGAATGAAGTCCTGTCACTTGAGACTGGATGGAACTGGAGATCATTTAGGTAAGTGAAATAAAGCAGAAAGGCAAGTGCTACATGGTCTCACTCATGAAATCTTAGGAAGTTGATCTTGTAGAGATTGAAAGTAGACTTGTGGTTACTAGAGGCCAGCGAGACTAGGGTTAAAGGGAGGGGAAAGTTTGTCAGTGGACCCTCAGACAGGAGCAAGACACTCTGGGCTGCTCTCGAACAGCATGGTGACTTGCACATACTATACCTTCCAAAAAGCTAGACAAAAGGATTTTGAAAGTTTCCACCACCAAGAAATGGTAAACGTTTGAGAGATGCGTTTAATCTAATTTAAACATTACACAACGTCTGCTGTGTTAAACATGGTAGCTCATTAAAATGTGAAACTTTCATGTTTTGTGTATGAGCTAAAATTAAATTAAGAAGTCCCGGGCTAGGGATGAGATCAGTGGTAGTGTGGTTGCCTAGAGTGTGCATAGCTGTGGATTTCATCCCATCTATCAATAGATGAAATAATATAAGTTGGAAAATTTAAAGAAAATTAAAATATCTGGACTGATGATACCTAATTTTAGGAATTTACTCCCAGGAAATAATTAAGAATGCCTATAGAAATGTATTTCAAAGTCTGCTGTTCACATATTATTTAGAAAAAAATCAGAATAAATGAGAGATCGACCCTAGTCTGTCAGTGTGAGAATGAAAGTGGTGAAAATTATTTTTTGAAAAATCATCCAAAGATTCTGGAAATGGTCCTGAGGGAAAATGGCAGATTAAGAAACATCAATTCAAGAATACTTATGGAAACTTGCAGCTGGTGTAGTGATTCAAGCAGTAAGAGCATGTGCCTAGCAAGCATAAGGTCCTGAGTTCAAACCCCAGTGCTGCCAAAAAAAAAAAAAGTATTTATGAAAACCCAAAGATTATTTATGAAAACCCAGTGGGAGTCTGTGGTATTTGATCCAAGAGCACTCCATCCTCCACCTTCCCAGCTCAGTGAGGCAGAAGCAGCATTCATGGCTGCAGCCAAGAGCAGGGCTACCCCCAATTCTAAGCCAGAGGCTTCATTCCCAGAAAGAGCTGCACTGAAGCTCACATCCTGACTGCAGCTGCCTGTTGCTGAGGCTAAGTCTGAGGTGAGTGCAGTTGAGAGGCATGGGCTCCCTTCTTCCTTCCAATTCCCACTTGGACATGGCATGCTGAGAAGGCATACAGAGGCCCCCAAAGCCGTTCTCTGTCATGTGAGGCTGTGCTTCCATGTAAGGGGAGACAAACTAGGAGGACCTCAGGCGGCTGTGCCCTCCATCCACCCATCAAGCCATCAGTTCCTAAAGGAGTGTAACTCAAAGAAAATGTTATTGTCCCCACACCAAATGGAGAATAAGGAGATAGGAAATATGAAAAGGGGCAATGGAAATTCTGAAGTTGGAAAGGACAGTAACTGTAATAGAAAATTCTTTCCAGGGGACTCATCTGACCCGAGCTGGTAGAAGAAAGGGCTAGCAAGCCTGAAGGTGGATTGGTAAAGATTAGGCAATCTAAAGAATGGGGGACAGAAAGGAAGAAAAGCTAACCAAACCTCAAAGTAATGTGGGTAACATTAAGCACGCCAGCTATATATAATAGGAGTCCAAGGAGAGGAAGCCAGGCACTGGGTCACACCAGCAATCCTAGCTACTTGGGAGACTGAGATTAGGA